GCAGGGCCTCCGCCCCCGCCGCCCGTCCAATCGCGTCCTCCCCGCGTGGTCTGGGCAGCGCCGCAGCCCGGGTCGAGGCCTTCGCTCCGCAGCTGTCTGGGCAGCTACTCTCAGTCCCCGCCCTGAGCCCAGGTGAGCCCGACCCCGACTCGACCCGACCCGGACCCTGACCCCGACCCAGATCCCGCCACCCGCCACCCGCCCGAGGTCCTCGCCCAGGTCCGCGGTCGCCCCCGCGCGCACTCCCACCCGGTGTGGAGATGCGTCCTCTGCGACCAGGCACGCGGAGCGGGTGCCCCGACCCCGACCCCGACCCCTCCCGGGACAGACACCCCAGCTCCCCGGCTCCGCCCCGGTCGCGCGCCCCTTTCCGCTCCCAGATCCGCGTGCACTGCAGACTGTCCCCGCGCCCTCCCCGGGACTCCGCGGGACCTCGCTTTCCCACCCGAACGTCCCCGACGAACACGCACCCACGCGGCCCACTCCCCGGGCCTCGCCGGGACGGGTGCGGGGAGGACGCCTGGCGCGGAGCCCGGAGCCTCCGGTGGACCCGGGTCTCCGAGTACGGGACCCCGCCCGGCGGGAACCCACCTGCGTACGCAGGGCCCCCCAAGGGCTAAGGACAGTGCGGGGGCCCGGGGACCGTCGCATGGAGGGCGCGCTTCCGCTTACACGGGGAAGAGGGACGTGACAGCCTTGGGTGTCTCTGGAGGGACTCGAACCCGTGAAAAGGGGCGCATTTTTCTGGCAAAGAGCAGGTCCGAAGTAGGGTCTCTGATAGGTGCCAGATGCCGAGGCCTCCCTGTGCCCCCCCCCGTGAATTGCAAAATTGCGACATCTTGTAGGGGGACAGTGTCGCTGATAGAGGCTCACGCTCCCCGCTCCGTCCGGCCCTCCCGTCCCTCTCCGCCAGGAGAATTGGCCTTGCCTCCCAGCTCCTTCGGGCTCCGCCGCGAGGTCCTGCGTCAGCAGTGCGGTGAGTGAGCAGCGTCACCAGCTGGGGCCTGGGTCTGCCTGCTGAGTGTGGGGCCGGAGGAGGAGACCGCAGGGCCCAATCAGGCCTGCTTGTGGGGAGGTGATGCAGGCGGTGGACACCCATACAGTGTCCCCAGAGGGGAGTGGAGGCGCTTCCCGGGAAGGATCCCCTGGGAGCCTCTCCTCCCCCACCCCGTCTCTTTTAAACTGCCTAATTTCAGTTCCCGGGGATCGTTCCTGGGCAAGGCCGCGTGCCAAAACAGAGGCACAGGGCTGCCTGTGTCTGCCGCCGCTGCTTTCTGGCCAGCGTGAGGGCCCGCACATGCCCTCCTGGGGCACTGGGCAGTTGGCCTCCTTTGGGTACGGCAGGAGGATCTGTTTTAGTTTGTTGTGTTTTAAGGAGTAAAAATTGTTTTAAACTGTGGGTGAGTTGAGCATGGTGCTGCACACCTGTAATCCTAGCGCTGAGGAAGCTGAGGCAGGAAACTGGCCCCAAGTTTAAGGTCAGCTTTGGCTACATAGTGAGTTCAAGGCCAGCCTGAACTACATGGAGAGACTATCTCAAAAAACAAAACAGAACACCTGTGGGTAAATACATATGTATGGTGATGCAATCTTCCCTCTGCACTGGGGGCGTGACCAAAGGACCCCTGTGTACTTAAAACAGTGTAGAGTTTGCACGAGACCTGCACACAGGCTCATGACTTTACACCACCTCTGGATTACTCACAAGCCCTAATACACAACCGTCTCCACAGCTGCAGCACACACGCTTTTCCCTGGGTGCGGGGGTGGTGCTGGGGGTGGAGCCCGAGGCAGCACACGCCCATTGAGCTGCACCCAGAACGTTCTCAGTCCCCGGATGTGAAGGAGTGAGTGCAGAGTGGATTACTTTTGTCGTTCGTCGCTGCAGGCTGCACAGCGCAGCATGGCTTTTAGTCCCTCCGGACGCAAGACACGTCCTTCCCAGCAAAACCTCTGCACCTTAAATAGCTGCTCTGCCTCCCCCATCTCACTGTGCTCCTTTTTAAAAATGATACTGGGACTCTAACCCAGGGCCTCACAGTTGCTAAGCACCTTGTGCTCTATTCCTGAGCTGTATCCCCACCCTGTTCTTATCTTTCTTAGGGACAGGTCTCACTAAGTTGCCCAGGCTGGCCTTGAAATTTCGATCCACCTGCCTCAGCCTCTAGAGTACCTGGGATTACAGGCCTGCTTCACACCTGGCTCTCTATGCTACTTTCTGTCTGAACTTTCCAGTTCTGGGTACCTGGTATACAGCAGACCGTGGAAGGATGTGAAACCACTCATAGAAGTAGAATCCCACAGTACTTCTCTGGTTGACTTCTCTTATTGTGATATCTCCATTCATGCTGTAGCATGTGTCAGGATTCCTTCCCTTTTTAGGGCTGAATAATATTCCATGGCATGGATGGACCACAGGTTTGTGTATCCATCATCCACTGATGGCCGTGGGTTGTTCCACCTTCTGACTATGGTGAATAATACGGCTGCGCACATGGGTTTCCAGATACCTATTTCCAGCTTCAGAATCTGCACGCAGGAGCCAGATGGTTGGGTCTGTGTTTAACTTGGGAAAAGGTCAAGCTGCTGTGGGCAGTGGAGCCAGGGTGTCTGAGCCAGTTCCTACCTGGGGCTGGGTGACCTAGAGTCCCTGGAGTCCACTAGCCGTGACCTGAACTCTCGCTCTCTGTCACAGACCCAGCATGCTGTCAGAGACACCCCACGCAGAGGGCAGGTCTGCGGCGTGCCCGCACCTCCCGGGGGTGCGTACAGGGGACAAGGAGCGCCTGTGGGTCCCGCCTGATACCCTGAGCAGATGCACCTGGCACCTGGGCAGGCCCGTCACCGACTCCCCGCACCACCACACCAACCTGTGAGTCTCTGCTTTTGATCCCAGAGGGGGTCGATCCGATCCGTACCTGGTGGTGGGAGGCTGTGGCACCTGGCAGCCCCAGAGCCAGGGGGACGGACACAGGGCAGGGTCCCTTTGGGGTCACCTTGGCTGCCTGGAGCACCTTAGAGACCCAGGCAGGCTCAGAGAGGCCGAGGCTGTCTACTCCACAGCCTGGCACTTAGGTCGGTGCCCAGCAAGATAGGGCCACCCAGGTAGCCCTTGCTGAATGAATTGGTGAATGTGCCCAAGCACCCACGCCTGCCCAGTCACTGAAAAGACGCCAGCAGGGCGCTTTGGGTACCCACCTTGCTAGGCCTTGGGCACACTCACCAGTTCATTCAGCAGGGGCTGCCTGGGGGTGGTCACCAGGGGGCAGTCACAGCTCTGGCTGCTGGCCAGGGGTCTGAGCCACAAAAGGACAGGACTGGCAGTGTCCCACACCCAGACGTGGGGCCCAGAGCATTGGACTTCCCGGCAACAAGTTTCTAGTGAAAGGAACCTGGGTCTGTGGTCAGACTCGAGGTTTGCTTTAACATTTTCACTGGTAAATAATTTTCACATAACACTGACTGCAGCATTACTGTATTTAGGTGTGTTTTTTTGTTTTTGGTGCTGGGGATTGATCTCAGGGCCTTTGCACTGAACTACATCCTCAATTCCTTTTTACTTTTTATCTTGTGAGTGTTTGTTTGTGTGAGATGGGGTCTTGCTATGTAGTTCAAGCTGGCCTTGAACTTACTGTGTAGCCCAGTCTGGCCTCAGACTCCCAGCAAGCCTCCTACCTCTTCAGCCTCCCAGAGTGCTGGAACGACAGGTGTGCACCACCACACCTGGTTTTTGTGTTTGGGTTTTCTGGGTGCACATGTGTGCTTAGATGTGTTCACTGCGTCACTTTATCCCGTGTGTGGGTTTGTGCAACCACCCGGTTCCCTTCTTATAGCCAGTTCTTTGATTCTTGGTTTTTAAAAACTGCACGTGGACTGCCGCAGTTTATTAATTGTTGCTTTGCTTTGTTTGGTTATCTGAATATTGTGGCCTCCCCTGTTTTAGGGCAGACTCTCCAAAAATTTTGCCAGACATTCTGAGCAACATCGGGAACACCCCCATGGTCAGGATCAACAAGATTGGGAAGAACGCAGGCCTCAAGTGTGAGCTCTGTGAGTGCCAGGGGCTCCCCTCCCCTCCTCCCACACCTCAGGATTGGGCGGTGGCAGAGCCTAAATCTGGGCCCTGGGGACGCCTGGAGGAGGAGTTGGAAAGCTCCGGCAAAGAACAGTTGCCTGGAGCACTTCACCCAGGTTCCGCAGGGGAGGAAAATGCTAGGGAGTGGTACTGGGGTGACTTCTGGCTGCTTGGCCCGGGCTGGGCTGGCCTAGCCTAGGGTGAAGGATGGTCCTATGCAGATCTTTGGAGCTGGGGTGTGGGCCCAGCCCCTTCGGAGCCCGGGCACCAGGAGGGGCCGGTGAGGAGTAAGCCCTGTCCTGCAGGCCCGGGAGAGGGAAGGAACCAGGGGCTTGGTTTGGGACATGTTTACTCGCAATACCTGGGGAATGGAGATGTTCTGAGGTAGGGGTCAGGCGAGAGTCCAGGGTGGGGCCTGAGGGAGCCAGGGGCCTGGCATGGGGAACTTGGAGGTTCACAGAAGGGGCCTTGAGGCCTGGCCCTCCTCTTCTCTCCCCCTGGGGGTCTCTGAAGAAGGGTGGGTGGGAGTGGCCCTTTCATTGATGCTACAGGCAAGGGTAAAGGCCACAGCAGTTAGGGCGGGCTTGTGTGCCCACCTTCCGGACAGACCGCCGAGCTCAGGTGGTTTTTTTTTTTTTTTTTTGTGGTTTTTCTCCGGTACCGGGAACCGAACTCACCACCTTGTGCTTGCCAGGCAGGCGCTTTGCCACTGAGCTAAATCCCCAGCCCCGAGCTCAGGTGGTTTTGATGTCATCACTGGGGAGTTGTGCCAGGGCCGGGCTCACAGCACCTCTGCCTGTCTCTGGGGAAGTCTAGTGGTTTTCAGAAAGAAGGACAAAACCAGGCACGGTGGCACATGCCTGTAATCGCAGCCCTGTGGGGAGGCAGAGGCTGGAGGATCTCGAGTTAAAGCCCAGCCTGGGCAACTTAGGGGCTTAGTGAAACCCTGTCTGAAAATAAAAAAAATAAAAAAGCCTGGAAATGTAGCTCAGTGTGAAGACCCTGGGTTCAACCCCTAGTACTGGAAGAAAAAAATAAAAAGTAAAAAAGATAAGGATGGACTGGCCAAGGGAGGTGGCTTGCGGGTATTTAGGTCAGTCCGGGGTACTTCAGATGAGCTTTGGTACAACGCAAGATTCCCCCCTTTAAGAATCTGTGAGAGGGAGGGACCTTTCCCCTGGCTAGGGATGCTAGGCCCGACGGTGTGAGGAAGGGGTGAAGGCATGGTGCAGTGTGGCTGGTGTCTGGGTGCCGTGGGTGACTGCTGTGTTGGAGGTTCCAGTCAGGGTGCCCCCGCAAGCCCTTCCTGTGACTGTTGGGCCATTCTCACCCAGGGAAATATCCTCTGGTCCATCCATCAGGTGGGGCTCCCCGTACAGCTTAGCTTTTGGGTGGCCTGCAGGGCAGGTGAGTGTGCTCCCGGGTGACAGCTTAGGTCGGCGAGCACCCAGCTTCGGGTGAGGGAGGCCGTGTGGAGAGGTGGCCGTACCCAGGACTGGCAAGCGCCAAGCCAGGTCACGGGATCAGCGGAACCGGCCAAGGTCGGGCCTTTTCGTCCCGGTGAATCGCTTCTGGTCCCCAGTGGCCAAGTGTGAGTTTTTCAATGCGGGCGGGAGCGTGAAGGACCGCATCAGCCTGCGGATGGTCGAGGACGCTGAGCGAGACGGGACCCTGAAGCCCGGGGACACCATCATCGAGCCCACGTCCGGGAACACAGGTAGGTGGCCGGGGTGGGCTGACCCCGGGGCACAGCTTTTGTCCTGGTGATACAGGGGGTGCAGGACAAGATCCCGGGGGTCAGCGCCCTGCTGGGCGCAGCGGGACGGCGGTCCCTCCTGCTCGGGGACACCCGGTCTTGGAATGCTGTCCCTCCTAGGCCTTTCAGGTGGAGGGGGTACGGGCACTCTGGGCCTTGTCCCAGGCAGGGCTTGGGGCGCTGGGCCCCCCTCACCCTCCGTGTGCTGCCCGCAGGGATCGGGCTGGCGCTGGCTGCGGCCGTGAAGGGCTATCGCTGCATCATCGTGATGCCAGAGAAGATGAGCACGGAGAAGGTGGGTTGGGCGGGGCCTGAGTGGACAGAGCTGATTGGAGGATGGTTGGGGGCGTGGCCTGGGATGCGGACATCTGATTGGAGAGTGGCAGGGGCGGGGCCTGCTAAACCTGAGGCGCGGCTTCCGGGCAGGTGGACGTGCTGCGGGCCCTGGGGGCCGAGATCGTGCGGACGCCCACCAACGCGAGGTTCGACTCCCCGGAGTCGCACGTGGGGGTGGCGTGGCGGCTGAAGAACGAAATCCCCAATTCTTGCATCCTAGATCAGGTGAAGCCCGCGTGCTGGGAGCCGGATTTGTGCCTACAAGGGCGTTTTCCTGGGGCGGCCCCGTTGGGATTTGGGGTGACCCAGGCTGGTACTGGAGCTGGGCTCAGCGGGCTCGGGTGGGGTGGCCCTCCGCCTTGCTCCTTCCACCCGTGGTTACCCCAAAAGTTGTGGGTCTGGAGAACTGCCCTGAGGTGGCCCGAGTGGCCAGCCTGCGCCTCCCTGGGTTGGTGGGATCCTCTCGGGTGCTCACGAGTGTTTGCCAGGCGGCCCCGTGGCTGCTGCTGATGCAAGCGATGCTGATGTCTTCCCTGCCGCACCCTTTGCCCTCCCGCGCAGTACCGCAATGCCAGCAACCCCCTGACTCACTACGACACCACGGCCGAGGAGATCCTGCAACAGTGTGATGGTGTGTGCCTCCCGCCCCCCTGCCCGCGAGTCCTCGGCCTTCAAAACCCAGCCCAAATGTCCCTCCCCGCTTTGTGCCTGCTTGGTCTCTGCGTGTGCCTCAGTAACACAGACACCTACTGAGACTGTTTACCCCCGCCCACCCCCCAGCCCCCGAGGAGCTGGGTCCCGGGCCTGGCAGGTATTGACCTCTCTATTGGGGGTCCACATAGCTACAACATTCAGGGGTGGTAATGGCACAGTGAGCTTACCCTCTGCCTGTACGAGGCTCCTGAGTGTGTGCTCACGGCCCGTCCTGCAGGGGGCCACTTGCCAGGAGGCTGGCTCCTTGGCCTCCTGTTTGGAGTCTGGTTGACCTGGCACTCGGCACAGGTGTTAGCCCACCGGCTCTGCAGGCAGCAGTGGGCTGTCTTGGCATAGGCCTGGCTCAGACTTGCCCACCCGGTGCTGGAGCCAACTCCGCAGCTCAAGCCGGAGCCTGCGATGAGCAGTGTCTGAACTTGGTCACCTGCCTGGGTGTGGGCATGTTCTCACCCGTGGGCACCAAAGGTGCTGCACTGCTCTGCCCAGGCTGGCCTGAGAATGCTCCCCCTCCACCAGGGAAACTGGACATGCTGGTAGCTTCGGCAGGCACGGGTGGCACCATCACTGGCGTTGCCCGGAAGCTGAAGGAGAAGTGTCCCAGCTGCAGAGTAAGTGGCCATGGGGAGGCCGGCCCAGTGGGGTGGGGCAGGGCTGCACCTGCCAGCTTTCTCACCGTGGCTTCCGCCATGCCCAGGGGACAGCAGCGGCTCCTTGGCGTCAGGCCCCTGTTCAGAGCCAGAAGCTCCTCTTCCTACCGTGTTTGCCCAGGTCGCACCATTGTCCTGGCTGGCGTGTGGCTCCCGAGGGGTTGGGAGGTGGGGCTGGCCAATGGGGAACCTTGCATCTCATGACACTGAGGCCCACGTGACCCGGGGCTGGGCGGTTGCCCTCTGGCCCAGGTCTGGGGACATCCTGTGCTGATTGGGGGATGCAGATTCGCCCGGGGTGCTCGTGCCCTGAGTCTGTCCCACTTGGACTTGGGGAGTCGGGAAGGCCCTGGGTTGGGCTCAGGGTAGGTCGGTAGAGGAGGGGTGGCCTGTCTTCTCTTGGGACAGCCTTGTCACCCTCCAGGGAAGAGATTAGTGCCCAGAGCTGCCCTTGTCTCCAAAGGCCCCTGCTGCCTCTCGGGTGCCCCGCCCACAGGAGCCCTGGGAGGTTGTTTGAGTCCTTGGCTGGATGTGACTTCAGATCAGCCACACGGCCCTCGTTCTCTGGGCCTGGACCCTGGGTGCCTTGTGCTGCCTCTGAGGCCGGAGCAGCACGGGCATCCCATGGGCAGGTCGTGGCCGGCACACGAGTGATGACGGCTGGACGTGTCCTGCTGATATCATCCCCAGTGAGCCCTAAAGCCGCCCACCCTGCAGATCATTGGGGTGGATCCTGAGGGGTCCATCCTCGCCGAGCCCGAGGAGCTGAACCAGACAGAGCAGACAGTCTACGAGGTGGAGGGCATCGGCTACGACTTCATCCCCACTGTGCTAGACCGGGCGGTAGGTTGGCAGAGGACGTGAGTCGTACCCCACCTCTGTGTCCAGTGACCCCAGGCTCCTGGGGCGGTTCAGTGGCCCTGTCGAGGTGGACATGGGGTGAATGAAGTTCACACCCTGCCCGTGGCGGGCACAGGCTCGGGGCACCGAGGGAGGGGCAGCCCAGGGCAGTCCGGCAGGCAAGTGTGAGGCTGGGGGAGCCGTTAGGACCAGGACCTGCAGGAGGTGGGCCGAGGTAGGGCTGGCAGACAGGTGGGCAGAGAGGCCCAGGCTGGCAGCCAGGAGCCTGGGGCTTCAGGGCTTGGCCGCCCCCTTGGGATCATGGCTGGGGCTGCCTGGACAGGGGTCGTCTGAAGTGGCCCCGTCCTGCCAAGGTGGTGGACAAGTGGTTCAAGAGCAATGACGAGGAGTCCTTTGCCTTCGCCCGCATGCTGATCGCGCAGGAAGGGCTGCTGTGCGGTGAGTGCAGCCCTGGTGGGAGTGGGGGCGGCGCTGGGCAAGGGCACACGTGTGCGGCCTCTGAGCTGAGCCCACCCGCCCTTCCGCTCAGTTCCCGTGGAGCCTGAGGCCTGGCCGGGCTCGAGCTCCCCGGCCCCGCACGGGGCGGAGCGGCCCCAGCAGCTTGGCTTAGCTCTGGGGTGCCTGGAAGACCACATGAGCGTACCCTGAAAGTGTCACGCGCTGCGCCTCTCCGTCGGGGAACTTCGGGGGAGGGGAGGACTACGCCCAAGCCCCTGTTGAGAGACAACTTCCAGAACTGCGCTGGGCACAGGGACCTGGTCCTCCGTGGGCTCCTCAGAAGCCTGTGTCCCCTTTTCAGAGGGTCAGGCCCCAGCCTTGTGGGCTGCCACACCCTCCGGTGCCCTCGCAGAGGAGGGCCGTGCTTGCGTGGTGGGTGGAACTTCAGGTTCTGTCCATCGCCATAGCTGAGCCCCACGTGTCCCCCGGAAGGCGGCTGCAGCACCCTGATTCAGTGTTGCTGGGACATTGCGTAAGGTGGACCAGCACCGCCTGCCCAGCTGTGACTGAGCAGTGACAGACCACAGGCTGTGCCTCGCGCTCGGCTCAGGGCCAGGCATCTGCTGAGGGACCCAGAATCCCCTGGGCGTTGCCTGCCAGCAGCAGCGCCCCCAGCAGGAGCCCCCCGGCTCTCCAGGCCTTCCTGTTCCCCCAGACCTGGGCACCTGGGGGACCGTCTGGATGTGGAAGGGATGGGTCCTCCCCGGGCCGGTTCCCCACAGGCCCTCGGAGAGCGGGTTCAGGTGTGCTTGCACGTGGGTGCACACTCGAGAACACGCACTGGGGTCTGACTGAAGGTCCTCTGGGCAGGCGGCAGTTCCGGCAGTGCCATGGCCGTGGCCGTGAAGGCCGCCCAGGAGCTGCAGGAGGGTCAGCGCTGCGTGGTCATCCTGCCCGACTCAGTGCGGAACTACATGTAAGGCGCCCCTGGTCCTCTGGGCCAGGACCGTCCTGGCTGAGGTCACTTCCTGCACACCTCCGCGGAGTGCCCGGCAGGAAGCGGGGTTGGGACAGCTGGAGCGGTGTGCTTGCCTGCCCCGCCCCGTCACAGGGCTGTGGGGTGTGTGTCGGCGTATGTCCGCTGTGACACCCAGGCGGATAGCGGTGCCATGGAGGAGTGCCCCTGCGCCACCCCGGCCGCCCTCCTGCCTCAGCCTCTGAGGGCCATCACTGCCCCGGAGGTCTCTGAGCTGTGTCACTGTACTCACTGCCCTTGCGCCTGCTGCCCATCCACCCCAGGGTAGTTGGGGCACAGCCCTGGCCAGGACTTAGGACTTGCTGTGACACACGACCGTCGGGTAGCCTCCCAGGTGCCTCGGCGCTGAGGTCTGGACTGGAGGGGTGACAGGCTGCCCTGGCCCCTCCCTGGGCCATGCCCGCATTCCCCCGCTGCCACTACAAAGCCGCCGTCACCCGGTCTCTCAGGCACGGGGTGGTGCTCCCCCCACCTGTATCTGCGCTGACCTTGCTACCCTGCTGGCCCCCCCACCCTTGGGCTCCCAGGTCAGGTGACTCAGGTCTGGGTGCCCCGCCAGGCTGCTGGGCAGCACTAGGAAACACCCACCTCCCCTAAGCGCTTGGCTGGCGGGACGGGGTGGGCAGGAGGCCCCAGGCCTGGTGGACAGGGTGCTCGCCGGCCGCGGTTCTGGTCAGGGTCTGTCTGGAGTCCACCCCGGCCTCACAGGCCCTCGCACGCAGCGCCCCTCAGCATAGGTACAGGCCATGGCAGGCCCTTGGTGGGCCACGGTGACGCCCTGATCCCGCAGGTCCAAGTTCCTGAGTGACAGGTGGATGCTGCAGAAGGGCTTCATGAAGGAGGAGGCGCTGTCCGTGAAGAGGCCCTGGTGAGAGGTGGGCGGGACGCTGCCTGCGCTGCCCCGGGCCCCCCCGCCCCGCTCATCCCCGCCCTGGCCTCTCCTGCAGGTGGTGGCACCTGCGCATCCAGGAGCTGAGCCTGTCGGCCCCACTGACGGTGCTGCCCACGGTCACCTGCGAGCACACCATCGCCATCCTCCGCGAGAAGGGCTTCGACCAGGCGCCCGTGGTTGATGAATCCGGGTCAGTGTCCACCACTGGCCAGAGCTCTGTCCTCGGGCTGCGCCTGGAGCCGGACCCTCTGTTTTGGTGTTGGGGCAGCTTAGCCTCAGGGTCCCCATGGTCACTTTACATACAATGCCCAGAACCTTGTCCCTGGAGGGCAGCCAGGATGGGGAGGGGCGGTGTTAACTTGGCCCTGAGACACTACTGCCCAAGAGGCAGGTGCCAGGCACCCTGAGGTGTCACATGGGCAGTCAGCCACATCTGCCCAGATGGCCAGCTGCCCCGAGGACTTGACACTTGCTGGATTCCCAGGAGCCCCATGCTGCCCGGGACCTCGCAGTGATCCCCGGGGCAGCTGTGCACCAGTCTGAGCTGCCCCCCCCACTCTGATCCTCAGGGCCATCCTGGGGATGGTGACCCTCGGCAACATGCTGTCGTCTCTGCTTGCCGGGAAGGTGCGGCCGGCGGACCAGGTCTGCAGAGTCCTCTACAGGCAGTTCAAGCCGGTACGGCGCCCCTGCTGGGGCCCTGGGCTTCTCGGGCAAGGGCGCCCACCTCTCTGCAAGTGGAACAGCCCGGGGCGGGGGCCGCCTCATGCCTTCTGCTGGCACCCCATCACCAGCTGACGCCACTGAGTGGGTGCACGCCCTGCAGTGCGCAGTCCCTGCTCTCCCCGGCACATGCTCTTGGTGCCCCACGCTGGGCTGCTGGGCTGTCCAGTGAGAGTCGGGCATTCTGGGGAAGGCCAGCTCTGCCCCGTGCAGTCCCTAGGGTGGGTGTGTCTGTGTCCCCTCTCCTGGGCCCAGGTAGCAGCAGGCCTGATATGTGGAGAAGCAGGTGTTACAATGGGTTCCCCCCACATCTAGCAATGAATTGGACTCTGCCGCACCTCATGCACACACCCCCAAATATCGCCAGCATCCTTGCATTTTCCCTGTTTCATCCCTTCAGGGCCCTCAGTGCCTCTGACTCCCTGCAGCTGGAGGACCAGCAGTACATCTGGGGCCCTGTCCTCCTGCTGAGCCATGTGCCCAGAGGGAAGCCCAGTCCCAGCCCTGGGCCTGGCCCTCCTCCACTAGCAGCGGTCCCCCCTCTGCTCCACCTGGTGGTGGGTGTGACGAGCGCTCCAGCTTCCCGCTGCAGGCTTCATCCAGCCAGGCCCTCTGTCCCTTCCCAGAGTGGACACCTAAGCCTTGGGGCCTTGGCATTCTTGGAGCCTTTATTTCCTGTGGCCGGACAGGCTCCGGGGCATGGTGTCCGATAGCTGTAGCTGGGGCCGGCTCCGGGCCCACCAGGTCCCTGGACGTCGTCTTCCTTCCTGAGGTGTAACTGCGCACGCTGACCATGTCAAGTCTGTACAGTGTGATGACTTTGACCTAAATACGCACTCGTGATGTGCCGTCACCCCCAAAGGCTTCCTCCCGCCCTCTTGGGAGCCCCCGCCCCATCTGTAGGCAGCAACTGTCCTACCTGTTGCTGTGGGTCCTCTGCATGCTCAAATTGTACGTGACTGCGTCCTGGGAGAGGTGTGACCAGCCCTGGGGACACTTCCCAGGGGACCCTTGAATGCCATGAGGGGTTTCCTGGGACGAGCCCCTGTCCTGCACGGGCCTCGGAGGGGAAGTCCTTGCGGTGTTGCCCAGGATGTAAGTGCACGCCCCGGGAGCCCTGTGCTCCCCAGCGCACCCACTCCCTGCCTTGACCGAGGCTGCAGCGTAGAGATGTGTGTTCAAGGCTTTGCCTGCCCTCGGCGGTCAGAGCATCTTACAGGGTGCTGTGCTCTCCAGCTGTCACGTCAGGTCCTCCTGCGGGGCTGCCAGCCCCTGACACGCCGGGTTGCTTTTTGCAGAGAGCCTGGGCTGAGGTTGCAGGCGCAGCCTCTAGGCTGCAGTGAACAGGCTCTGACAGGTCTTCCCTCGCAGGTCCACCTGACAGACACGCTGGGCACGCTGTCGCACGTCCTGGAGATAGACCACTTCGCCCTGGTGGTCCACAAGCAGATCCAGTGTGAGTGACCACATATGTGCGGGCTCTCACTCGGGCCAGGGCCTGTGGCGGGCAGCAGCCAGGCCTGCGTCCTTCCGGCGGCAGGGAGTGGGGCACTGACCTGTCCCTGGGGGCAGGGGCTGCTCATCTGAAGTCCTGGGCCCAGGCGCCTGGGACCAAGACCCCCAGGTGACAGTAGTTTCAGGGACTAAGGGACGATCCCAGGAGAATCGGAAATGGCTGTCTTGGCCTCAGCAGTATCCTGCATGCCCTAGGAGGGACTGCCATGCCCTCCTGGCCCCCACCCTGCAGGCGGTCAGAGCCTCCGTGCCTGGGTCTGCCCCGGTGCCCGCTCCCGAGCCCCCCTCTGCGCGTGTGTTGTCAGGGAGAGTCGTCCTCGTGTCCTGGTTAGGGGTGAGGGCACAAGTGTCTGGCCCTGGCCCAGCGCCCGGCCCCGAAGCCCGCCCAGTGGCTGCTCTGGGGCAGCCTTGCGTCTAACCCTCTCCCGTCCTTGGCTCTGCAGCACGGGACCAGGCCCAGGCAGGCGTGGTGGGGGCGCCTGCAGGTATGTACCCCTCAGAACACTTCTCCAGGGCCAGGAAGGGCACGCAGGACCCCTGAGCTCTGGCAGGCGCTCCTCTGTCCCCATCTTGCTTTAGGGGTGAGCCAAGTACGCCGTGAGCCCGAAACATTCTAGAGAAACGCGCGGCCAAGCGCCCCCTCAGCCCGCCCGCTGGCTCGGAGCCCCACCTCCCATCGCGCCTGCTGCTTGCTGCAGCAGCTCTGGAGGCCTCTTTCCTGAGTGGCTTTATGAAGATGATAGAAAATAGTGCCTGCTGGGGCTGGGGCTGGGGCTTTAGCTCAGCGGCACAGCGCCTGCCTGGCAAGTGTGAGGTCGTGAGTTCTATTCCTGGTACCGGAAAAAAAAAAAAAAAAATAGGAAAAACAATAGTGACTGCCACAGCCCAGTGCCATGCAGTCGTAAAAACGTGACGCTGTGTCGTCATCCACCGTAGTCACCAGATCTGGCACTGTGCGACTTCCGGCTCCTCCGCAGAGTCAAAGTGGTGGTGGAAGGGAAGTGTCTGGAATGGACTCAGGACAGGATTCAGCCGTGAGAGCTCACGAAAGGCACTTGGGCCGGGAGCAGCAGGTCGTACTTTCCCGGTGCCTGGCCCGGGCCAGTCTCGCCCCACAGCTGTGCAGGCGGGTGTCTGGACTGCCCGTGGCACGGTCACGCGGATACATGTAGTGTGAGGCTGGTTTCACGCTGAGAGGCCTTGGGCACGGATGGGGACCCACGCTTGTCCCAAAGCGCTGGGACCCTCGTGTGGCCTGTGGCTGGTGGCTGCGGCTCTGCCCTCGCGGCCAACCAACCCCAGGGCTCTGTGGCTTCACCGTGTGATGCGTGGGAGGAGGCCAGCACAGTCCTGGGCCCCGCAGCAGCTGTTCTCCGCAGCTCTGGGGAGAGGCGGGCCTGGGGATACTGTGGGGTCCACCTGCAACAGGCCTGGGGCGCACACGGCACACCTCCCTCCACACCCAGGCGCCACCACACCCAGCCTCCTCTCCTGTCCCCCACAGACCACAGCAACGGGGAGTCCAACGCACGGCAGATGGTGTTTGGGGTCGTCACCGCCATCGACCTGCTCAACTTCGTGGCAGCCCACGAGCAGAATCGGAAGTGAAGCCTGCAGTGCTGAATCCGACCCGGCTGCCCTCCATGCAGCAGTCACCTGGGACGCTCAGGGTGGACCAGCAGGCTCTGTCTTCCTAACATTTGGCTTCTAAAACAGATCTGCCTGAATCAGCTCCAAGGGGCTTTTTTAAAGGTTACTTCAAGATGTTTCACTAAGGGTATATTTAGAGAGGAGTTAGAGTTGGGGGTAGTGGCCCATGCCTGTAATCTCAGCTACTGAGAAGGCTGAGGCAGGAGGATTGCCAGTTCCAGGTCAGCCTGGACAACATACTAAGACTTTGTCTCAAAGTAAAAAACAAAAAGGCTGCGGTGTAGCTCAGTGGTAGGGCACTTCTGAGTGTGATCCCCGTAGCCCCCCAACCCCACAAGAAGAAGCTGGCCAGGTGGGGTAAACACACATAGAGATGATCAGAGTGGGCAGAAAGCACCTCCACCTGAGAAGATGCCAGAAAGGGGGATGGCAGAAAGGGGGCTCCGTGCGGTGGAATCAGTTTGGTCCCTGTCCTCATGGGCTGTGCCATTCCTGGGCCTGAGTAGGCAGAGCAGCTTCACATTTTGATTGTAACCCAGGTGAAATCCAATAAGCGAAAACTTACAATAACACAGTTAATAGTTCACTGGCGTTTAGCATACAGAACACCACGTAGTCACACCGCTGTCAAGTTCCAAGATGCTGTCACCCAGCTGAGCAGTCCTTTCCGCTGTCCTCCTGCTGCCCCGGCCTTGTTTCTCTCAGGCCTTCACTGATGAGACAAGGCCCACCGCAGCAGCCCCTGACGCCTGCTAGCCTCACTCCCCACACCACTCTCTGCCCCTGGGTTTACCTGTTCTGGGCAGTTCCTATAAATGGAGTCACACAATCCTTGGCCCGTCTGGTTGCTTGCCTCCACAGGATGTTTGTTATTTAATTCATGAGAATAGTCCACGGTGTAGACATACGTGTTTGGGTTTTTTCCTCTGTGACTGATGGACATGCAGGTGGTTCTCCCCTTTAGCTATTGTGAACATACTGTGCCTGAACATCTGTTTTGCTTTCCTGATCTTGGTACCAGGAGTGGGGTTCTGGATTGTGGTAATTGCATGTGAAGTTTTTGTTTTTTGTTTTTGTTTTTTTGAGATAGGGTGTGGCTCTGTAGCTCCGGCTGGTCTTGGACTCACAGTGATCCTCCTGTCTCAGCCCCCTGAGTGCTGGGATCATAAGCAGTACCACACATGGGCCTGCCCTCATTTTGATTTCCAGTCACATTTCTCCAGGTAGTGATGATGTTCACAGGCTTGTGAGTCCTTTGTGTATCTTTGGGAAAAAAGATTTTTCAGTAGGGCTGTTGATTTGTAAAGAATTCTTACATACTCTGGGCCCTAAACCCTTTCTAGATACGGGATTTGCAAGCACTTTCTCCTGCTCATAGGTTCTCTTCACTTGTTCAGCAGTGTTCTCTGGAGCACAGTTTTTACTTTTGGCAAAGTCAGAATTTGTCTCATTGTTCTCCCAGCCTCCCTTGCTGTCAGTGTGCACTCTGATGTGAAACTCACTCCTGGTTTGTGGATGTGGTGCACTGGTGCACCTCGAGTTAGTTTCACATATGGGCTGACATGTGAGTCAACACTGTTGTGCAGACCTGAACCGTGGTCTCAGCACTAAGAGACTTTCCTGTTCCCAAGTGGCTTTGTCCCTGCTCTTAAAACTCAGGTGGCTCCAGAGGTCTGGGCTCGTCCCTGCGCACTCATTTTTCGGCTCTGTGCCAGTCCTGCGTGGTTTTGAACACCATGGCTGTGCAGGATGTTCTGAAATTAGCAAGTGTGAGTCTCCAGCTGTGCTTTTTCAATGCTGCTTTGGAAAGCCAGGTGTGGTGGTACACACGTGTAATCCCAGCACTTGGGAGGCCAAGGCAGGAGGATCACCCAGAGTTCCAGGCCAGTCGGGGCAACAGTGAGTTCAAGGACAGGCGGAACGGACACACCAAAAAGGAAAAAGCGTCGGTCACCCAAACCAGGCTCTGAGCGCTGTTTCTTGGGGAGTTCACTTTGAGCATTTGGGTGAGGGTGGAGAATTTTTTAAATACTTTTTTTTTTTTTGTACTGGGAATTGAACTCAGGACCTTGGGCTTGCCAGGCAGGCACTTGTGCCGCTATGTCCCCAGCCCTAAAATACATTTCTAGCGGGACGGTGGTGGACCATAGCACAACCCAGGGCAGCGGGTTCTGATCCCAGGACCCCGTGGTGTTCGCCTTCTCTGGAAAGAGGTGCAGGCGCGTGGGAGAGCTGTGGTTCCCGGGGCAGCCCTTGCGTTTTGCTGCCTGCTGCCAGTCACAGGGCTGTCTCCGTGAGCCTGCTCAGGCTGCAGGGCAGCTGCACAGCCCACGCCTCCCTGAGAGAAGTGGACTGCCACCCAGGTCTGGGAGTGAAGGCCAAGATCAGGCGCCGGCAGGGCTGGTTCCTCCCCAGCCTGTGAGGGAGAAGCTGCCCGAGACCTCCCCGACCCTCGCTGCTGCACTGCGTGTTGCTGGCCAGTCCACTGTCCCCTGAGCCCTGTGAGATATGATCTCTGCTTCCGTTACCACACAGCATCTCCCTCTTCACGTGTGTCGAACGACTTGCTGACTGCCGCAGGGCCTCACTGTGAAATTCAGGCTGGCCTTGAACTCAGTACATAGCCCGGGCTGGCCTCAGACTCATGGGGCAAGTTATCCCAAAGCCCAAGTCTGCAAAGCAGGGATGAACTCAACCACAGTGTTTACAGTGAGACCGGGCCAGCTTAGGACCCGAGCCACCACAGCGCCGGTCATCCGTAGAGGGGCCGCATGCTCTCCTATCGTGTCCAGGCTGTCCCCTCCTGGTGGTACTGCTCTGCAGCGCCCTCCGGGTGCAGTGTGGGACCCCTGCACCATCTAGAGGCACAGCAGCCTCTGCGGGGAGCGCCTGCCCTTGACGAGCTGAGAAGCAGCCTGGGTCTGCGGCCTTCTGCAAGGCGCTGCAAGGTTACCTGCGCCCGGCAGGATTGGGGCACGGGACCCGGGCCCTGAGCGTCTCAAAGTAGTCAGGGTGGATGAAGCTCTTCGGAAGTGTGCTGTGAAACGTGAACGTAGTGATTGTTTCCTTCTGTGGAGCTCCCCCGGCCCCAGCACCTTCCCCTGTGGAGCCTCGCAGGTTTTCCGGAGCGAATGAGCACCACGGGCCCTCTGTCCCTTGCAACTTAGCTCTCCTGTAAGTCAGCGAAGACCCCAGGGAACAGGATTCAGTGTTACGGAGGCTCATTCCTCTCCCTTGGGCCCGGGTCTGCCAGCAGCACAAACCCGAAGGCCTTTCTCCTTGCAGTTCCTCCATCTTCCACACAGCTGCCACCTACCTCTGGCCCAAGACCCAAGGACCCATCCACACCCCAGCGAGCAGGTGAAGCCGGTGGCCGCCCCTTTCTGGGCACTCCTGAGTCACACGCAGTTCTTCCACGTCCGTCCTCTGGCCGACTCAGCTGCCAGCTCTCGTAGAAAAGACTCGGGACTCGGGGCAGGCCACAGCCGCGAGCCCTCTGTCAGGACGCCGGAGCCCAGCTTAACGTGGGGCGGCAACTGTAGTCTTGAGGAAGGGAAGTACTGACGCCTGTGGGGGACGGCGCCTGTGCACCCCCAAGATGGCCATGCACGGTGTCCCCGGGTGAGGCCAGAGGCCCCTGGGCCAGCCCGTGTCGGTCGCGTGGTGGTGGCGAGTCGGGCTGGCCTGGCCGGCGAGAGCTGTCCCTGCGGTCAGTCCCAGCACTGCAAGGTGAGTAGATACACATGAAATTTTATGAAGTCCTCAAGACGGCGGGGTGTGTGGCTCAGCGGCAGCACGCTCGCCTAGCACGTGTGAGGCCTTGAATTCGCTGCCCAGCACCACACCACAAAGCACAAAATACAGAGATGATTCAGAGGTCAACTTTATGTTTACGTTCCGTATATTTTACCACAATTTCTAAGAAGCCACAGAAGCCCAGGGCTGTTGAGCTGCGAGGCAGGCGGGTGGCAGCAGAGCCGAGACTGGATGGACTCCGGGCTCTGCGGGGTATGGCACTGTTGGCTGACAGGGCTGGCCCAAGGCCTGGTGGGGGCAAGGGAGGAGGAGCTGCTCCTGCAGGGTCTCCCGGCCCTGGCCAGCCGGCGCAGTGGAGGGAAGCACCCACACAGGTGCTACACGTGCCCATCCTGGTGTAGACTCACACGGGCGTGGGGCATGCAGTCGTGCAGTCCACAGCATGCCCACCACCCATGGTAGCCCTGACTGCAGATGAGGGTGACTGCACGCGTCCTCCCCTAACCTCTGCGGCCACTTCGGAGGTAGCACCCCTCGGCTGTGGCTATGGACACAGGAAATGCTACCCCTCCTGAGGAATCCCAGCCAGCCCACAGTAAAGGCCATGACGGGCTGAAGGCTATGCTTTTATAACCATCAGAGGCCGGCCAGCTTGTGGTCCTGGTCTCCAGGCATCTTAGCAATGGCTACAACTATGCCCAGTCTGAGTCTGCCCCAGGGCAGGGGCAGGTCCTCCTTGGACACTAATGGGCTCTGGCCTGAAGTTTGGTTGCTCCTGGGGCCACAGCCCGGCCCTTGGTGGAGCAGGAGATTCATTCCATCTGAGCCAGCTGTTTCCCTTCTAGGTATCTTCCTGAAAGAGTAGAAGACATACTGCAGGGATCCACGCACACCCATGTTTATAGCAGCACAGCTCATAACAGCTACATCTTGGAAGCAGCTTATACGTCCATCAGTGGATGAATGTATACAGAAAATGTATTTGTACACAATGGAGTACTACTCTGCCATAAAGAAGGATGCATGGGCCATCTGTAGGAAAATGGATGCCTTGAGATCATAAAGCAAAATAAATCAGACACACGAGCTTAAATATCACATGGTTTCTTTTATATGAGAAATTCAAAGCATAAAGAGCACCATTAAGGATAACTGGAAGGAGGGAGACACGCTTCTCCAAGGGCTGGGGGGTGGGAGGAGGGAAGAAGGCGAGACGCGGCATGAGACGCGGCATGCAGCTGTGCTGTGTGTTCCAGCTCCACGCAGGACGTGGAGACGTTCCGCACTCTACAGCAGACTAATACAAAAGTTAAAAAAGCAAAACGCCCAAAAGGCTGTAGCTTTGGTTCTGCAGTTCGATCTGACAGCCACAGTGTCTCAGCGACCCTCGGGCAGCGCCAACGGCTGGTGTCCCTCCCCAGCAGCTTCGGACTGTCCCTTGAGGGGTGTTGCAGGACAGAGTGGGGCTGAGCTCCGCAGGGCGGGTGTGGGTGAGTTGGCTCTGCTTATTCAGCGCAGACAGGCGTCCCAAGCACCGCGAGGACATCCCCGCCTGGCCTGCAGTGGTGACTGCTGTGTGGCCTGGCCCCCAGGCCCCTCGTGTGTTTTCCAAGCAGGTGCAGGGCAGATGCTGAAGCCGAGGTGAGCCTGACCCTTTGCTTCCAAGAAGTGGGTGCTGTCCTGTTCCCTCCTAGCTTAGAGACCCCACTGGATGCTGGTGTTGGTGGAGCCAGGCCAGCACCTGGGCCAGAGTGGTGATGGCTGTCCTTCCAGCAGGGTGTACCTGGGCCACCAGGAGTCATGCCGAATGGTGTCCCCAGATCCCCCAGTGCAGAAGGAAGTTCCACCCACAGCGCCTGACCCCTAAGGATGGAATTGAGGCAGAGGACAGACACAGACCTCAGGAAGCTCGAAGGGAGTGTGCCCCTCCCAGGGTCCTCGAGCCACACAGCCTGACCCGTGGGGCTGCACGCTGCACTTCCAAGCCCTGTAGGCACACATCCATGAGCCTAATGCCAGAGCGGGGTGGGCGGGGTGTCTTCTCATGGTCTTAGCCGTGCCCAGCAGGGCACCCTGGTGCCTGGCAGCTGCTGGCAGCCTTGCCGTGTGGTGTGGGCCTCCTTCCAGCAGGGTGCTGGGACCCAAGGCCACGTAAGCTCTTGGTTTCAGAGCCACCTGTCCTACCCACAACTGTGGCGAGGCCTCACCTGGACCAGGGCTGGGCCTCCCCTGCAGGGCAGGGCTCGGGAAAGCACGTGGGCTGGGCTGGGCTGGGGTATGCCAGGAACGGAGGTGGAGCTCTGATGTGATGCTCCACCCTCAAGGAAACCCACTTGGGGACCCACAGCTCCCTTCGCAGTGCCATCCCCACCCCCCTCAGCTCAAGTGCAGAGCCAGTGTGCTCCAGGCTCGGGGCCGGGTCCCCACAAGGCATTCAGGTTTGTGCGAGCAGAGCCCAAGACACCCGGCTCCGGCCCTGTCCGTCCCGGAGGGCAGGGCTTTCCACTGCCTTTCCCTTCCAGCATGCCCCTTTGAAGAACCGTTTTTGTCGCTCTATTTGTGTTGCGATGCAGAAGGCCACAGAACATGCTGCTTAACACGGCAGAAAGTAGCTGATCCATAAAATCCAAGCCATCCTGGAGCCGAGACAGCCACAGCTGCAAGGCCATGGGGAATGACTTCCACAGAGGGAGGCGGGGTGGGGCGCACAGAACAGGGCGGGAGAGGCTGCTGCACAGGGCAGGGAGCGGGTGGCGGGTGTTACTGCTCACTCATGACTCCCAGTGGGCTTGATGTGGCTGCTGAGGGCCTGGGGAGTAGGAGGGGCTCAGCAGCTCTTGGGCAGTGCAGACCTCGCGGGCTGGGCCCTGCCCAGGTACAAGGCAGCGTGCAGGGGTAAGGCGGGAGTGGGCGTGTGCCCACATCCCAGGGCCATCAGGACCGAGGCCAGGCTGGGCGGACTGACAACAGCCTCTCCCAGGACAGCAGCAGCCTCCGTGGGGCGGGGCGGGGCAGAGCAGGCACCACACGGTGGCCCCGGTGTGCGGGGTGCTGGGGTAGGAACTCAGCACAGCTGGCCACAGCTGCAGCAGGAGAAAGTGGACGTCTGCGGTGCTTGGGGGATGACACCTGAGCCCAAAGCCATCCTACGTGGCCCACAGGGGTGTGACCTTCATAGGCACGAGGGCTGCTCGCCTGTCTCCGCTGCTCTACCCAAAACACCCGGTACTCAGCCATCAGGAGGCACCCAGCAACAAACAGTCCACCCATCACCCACAGGGAAAGCCTCCGCCACAACCAGACGCAAGGATGGCTGTCATGGCCAGGGTCATCGAGGAGTCACACTGGACACGGGGTCACTGGTGACGGCATCTGCCCACCCTGTGGTGATGCTGGCCACCACCTGTCGCCACTCAGGCTGCAGCAGGTCTCTCTGGCTGGCTCCCGGCCCACATGCAGGTGACCAGGGCTGTCAGGTACAGGGTGCGGGGCGCTGGGCATGCACCAGTGCTCAGCAGCAGTGCTCCCTCCTCCGGACACCGCCCCACATGCGACCTGCGCCTGGACATGCTGGTCCTCAGGCGCATGTCCCCAGCACGGCGCAGTGCCCGGAGGACCCTTCTGTCACCGTCCCTTCAGTGCACTGAGGTTTGGCTTTTCTACTGCTTCCCAGGCCTCCACTTCTCTGCAGCCATAAACCCTAGGTCCCTGCCTGCTTTAGGTGTGAAGCAAGGAAAGGAGGTCCTTACTGCCGAGCCACGGGGTCCTCCCCTGCACCCTTAGTCCGCAGTGCTGTCCTCCTACCCCGGTGACAGACGGTGTAGTGGATTGGTAACTGGTATAACCCCCAGCTGAACTGAGTAAGTGTGGTGCTGGGTGTGGGAGGCCCACCTGGGGACTGTTGCCAGCAGCATAAGAGGCAGACCTGGAGAAGGAGATAGAGGCTGCTGGGAGCGGAGACAGGCTGTTGGGAGCTGGCGGAAGCTGTAAGGAGCTGTTGGTTCTTGGGGGAGCTTGTCATGCTGGCTTTCCTGATGAACTTGGCTGTTTTCATCCTCCCAGGAGCTTGGGACCTCGCTGGCACTGAGAATGGCTTTGGTTCACTTTGTGGAGAGCTCTGGTCCTCACTCTGAGCATCGCTTCCTGGCTCTGGAGGGGAAGATGGTGCACTGCCGGTGTCCAGGGGAAGCTTGCTGCATTGGCTTTCCTGATGGGAACTCGGCCATCTTGATCAGTGGAGGAGCTCGGGACCTCACTGTTGCTGAGGATGGCTGTGGTACCTTCCGGGGAGCTCTGGTTCTCCTGAGAGTCGCTTCCTGGCTCCAGTGTAGATCCCTCAGCCTGCTAGCGCAGATCCTTCATCCTGCTGGCACAGACTTCCTCGATTCCACCACTGACCTTTGGGCCTTCCCAGTGCAGATCCGTGAAACAGGCCTGCATGAGATATTGTTAGGGGCTCTGGACCTCCAGGTGGACTCATGGGAGGCATTATTATGAGCTCTAGGGCCTCAGCTGGACTCATGCAGGACATTTCTGTGGGATCCAGGCCCTCAGCTGGATTCTTGGTCTATAGTCTGTGAATGGATTCCCTTTGCTCTTTTGTGTATCGTTCTTTGGGTGACTATTATAAATAATCATATGAAGTATGTGTCCTGTATGATATATTGTTCCCCCTTGCAAAAATACTCCCAAACCAACACAGACGGTTTCCCACAACCTGACTTCCCTTCACCCTTCCCTGAAGTTGGCTCTAGCACCACGGCCTGCCTCTGACCCCTGGCGGAGTCCCCATGCCTGCCACCATCCCACTGCTGCTCCAGCTGCAGTGGCACGGCCAGCAGAGCACTCCTCAACCCCAGCTCTGCTGGGACAGGGCACCACCAGCACAGCGCACTCACCGGGAGGCGCTTCACAGTGCCAACCCGGCTGCCGTGGCCGATGACACGGGAGTGCACCCGGTGACTATACAGCACGACGTCTAAAGTACGCTTGACTTTCCTACCAACCATTCCTAAAAATGCCCACGCCTCTGAAGGCAGCACTGCCATTCGTCGTCCTTTCAGCTAGGCTGGGATGAGGGAACTCCTGCTGCATCAGCGCTTTAAGGCGGCATGCAGCCTCGAGTTCATTCCAACAAGAGTGAGATCGCCAGTGTGCCAGTGCCTTCTACACACCAGCTGCATGCGAAGGGTCACCAGCCGTCCAGGCAGAGCAGCCGGGCCCTGGGGACACCGGTGGTGAGGAAGGAGTGGCCCTGAGCGCCTCTCAACCCGGCCTCACTCCGCACATGTACTTAGACGCCACAGCCCGAGGGCTTGCACATTTTGGCAGGGGATCCCCAGTTCTCAGGGAAGCTAGAAAGGTCTGATTTGCACTAAGGATTTCCTCTTGGAGTGCCCCAGGGGCTTATGGCTAACCGTAAAATATACTATGGCATCAGCGAAAGCCCACAAAATAGGAACACTAAACAAGCCAAAGAGGGACTCCTAGTTGTGTGGATTTGCTGGATCATTATTCATTTACTTGTCTTTCTAAAGAGGCAGACAGATCTTCGTACTTATACACTTTTTGAGGCAGGGTCTCGCTATGCGGTTCAGGCTGGCCTCAAACTCGCAACGATCCTTCTGCCTCAGCCGCCCGAGTGCTGGGATTACAGGCGTGCGCCACCATGCCCGGCCATTATATATGCATCACTTTAGAGCTGCTGGAATAAACATCAGAAACTGAACTCTCCCTCTCACAGTGAAGCTCCTGCCCCAGAGACGGACACTGGCCTGCAGTCCCATGTGGGCATATTTCACACCTGCCCTCACCTCTGGCCTCCAGGAGGATGAGGCCAACACACCCATCCGAACACCTCCTCAAGCAGTGCTCTGTCCCACTTACCACGCTCAGAGCTCAGAGCTCAGAGCTCACGGTCTCAGACGCTCCTCCCACCCCGCCAGCTCCGCGCTTGCTTGCCTGCCTTGAGGCACAGACGGTTCTGGGGTAGATGGCACCCTGCATGGTGCAGGAAACCCCTCCAGGATGGTTCAGTGCCCAGCGTGTGCCATGGAGGGTTCTACCTTACCTTTCTTTCTGTTACTGCCCAAGTAATCAGTTTTGTGTAAAACTACAACCAAAAGAACCTGTTTGGAATTTTTCACTGGAAATTAATGATCAACTGAGATGAGCAATGGGAGGAGTCTGGAAAGCGCAGCAGATCCGAACAGCGCCACGCAGCGCCGGAGCCGGACTCTGAGACGTGCAGGCATCAGTGCACAGCACGTCCCTATCTGAGTGAGCGTCTGCCTAGAGTGAAAAGTAGCTTTTGGTGACATGAGCTTTACAAAATAAAACATCCGTAAGGCATGTTTCTATTTTTAATTTTTTTGCTTTGATAAATCAATTGCTTCACAAAAGTCCTTTTAAAGACAACAATCCAGAAAACATTGTTACAGTATTCACATTTTAAAGATTGTCAGTTTCAAAGACCGAACATAACTAAAAAAGGCAGACTGCTGAGTTAGTTCTGTCACTAACTGCAGGGAGGGCTCTCAGGACGGCAGCACCCTGGCAGCTCGCTGCAGCTTGTCCACGAGAGCAAAGTGTCCCCGCGTCCACACACAGGAGGCGATGGGCCCTTCGCCGGCTATAGGGCCGTCCCCGGAGCCCCCGGCTGTCAAGGCCACTCTGCGTACTGGATAGACGCTTCTACTAGCCGACTATCTGGACGCAAAAACAGGAGAGCTGAGCCCACCAGCTGGGGCCTGCTGGGGTGAGCAGAACAGCAGGGATGACGGTGGCTGGCTGCGGGTCTCACGACACACTCGCAAGGCGCTGCTCAAGGGAGGAATTTAACAAGGACCAGACTAAGACTGAATCGGATCTGGCCATTTAAAATGAAGCGCAAACAGACCGCACTTCCGGAGTCTCCCCACTGAACGAGGGCCCCAGAACAGGTGCTTCTGCACTGCACACTGACCACCAACAGGCTGGGCAGCGATCCTGAGCCAGAACGGCTGGCCGTGCGGACGCTGTTTAACAGCACCTTCGTCACACACGGAGAGGGGAAGGGGACCACGGCCCAGGGCTTCTCTCACCGTCTGCATCTCACTCCTCTGAAGTTAGCAGACAAGTTCGGGCTGAAGAGACCCGCCCCCCACTGCACAAGGCGGCTGCGCCTCTCAGCAGGCGGTCACAGCCCAGCCAGGGCGGCCGAAGCAGCCAGGGCTCCACAGGCTGGGCCCCCCCGCCTCTACACCACGGCAGACAGGACGGCCTCTCAAGAGAGCACATTCCGAGCACTTCTTCCCTGCTCTGCCAAGAGCAGGCGGCTGGGCGAGGGGCAGCTGGGGCTCCCCCAGGTCTTAGTTTTAAGAAGTCCAACAAAGTTGGCATTTAAATAAAGTTAAAATGATCTCTTAGCCTTGTGCAGACCTGACTTAAAATACTGAAAACTATAAATAAGTTATGCAGTGGCTGATGAAAAAGTTCTTCTCTCCCCAGAAATGCTGATGACCAAGGTATTCTGGGAGCCAAAGCTCCTGAAATGGGTTTAAAGAAGTCTCCGCCTGCCAGGATGCCCGGGACGTGCTCCCTGTGACTCGTCGTCATACGTTTGTGGGGGGAAATCTGTCTCAGAAAAAAACAACCCACCTGCCTAACCAGGTCCCTGACGTAACCCTGGTCTACGCCAGTCAGTACTCCTGTGCCACAAGAGCTGGTGGCCATGGCAACCCGCACGCTCCTCTGTCGGCCGGGGACTGCAGGCACCCTGTCCACAGTGACACCAAGACACACTGCACAAGGCAGGTGGCTGGCTTTCTCTCTGAGAAAAGTATCTGCTCCTGAGTAAACGAAAACAAACCAACACCAAAGAAAATAAAACCCAGCCACTCTTTCAGTGTGTCACCAGGAACGAGAAGTCTCCAAATTACTCCAGATCTTGGGGAATCCAGTGAGCGCGGAGGGCTCAAGGAACTCCGAAGCAACAACACATAACAGGAAACAAGTGTGTGTGAGGTGACCCGGCGGGGTCCGCTGTCAGGACACTGTCACAGTTCAGCTCCGCACTGTGACCTCACTCACATCTGCCAATTACGTGAGACAGCATGGATGTCTGAATTTACCCCAGCTCTGAGCCAGTGCGATAGAGAACATTTTACATGAGTTTATAATAAACATTCTATGCATACCATATTCTGACTAAAAGAACCCCTAAAACAGTACACAGTTAACGCAGTAAAGTGAGCGTGTAACTGAGGCCCAACTTAAATTAGACTGGCGTAGGGGCGGCGAGAGCTTCGGACTGGCTACGGGCTCCCTTGGCTTCGCTTACCCCAAGTCCTGCTGAGCACACGCCTTCCGGGGCCTGTGTAGACCATGTGTAAAACGCAACATGAGCACTGTGTGTACACAGAAATTTGGAAGGCCGAAGTTTCACTAGGCTGTTGTCTCCTTCAGCAGTAAATGCAAACCATCCGGGAGAGCAGGAGACCTGGGAACGACAGCCAGCGTGGGCAGGGCAATCGGAACATTCCAAATCGAAATGTAAGCATGTATTGTTTCTTCTCTAGAAATTTTTATCCTCAATATAGTCATAATCCAATTCATAACGAATTTATAAAAATAGCTTTTTATCCAATAATTCCAGCAAGGTAAAAATAGGAGTTTCTTTTTATATATAGCAAATGAAACAGGCTCGCCGACCGCGAGGGGACTGAGGCGCACTGCGGTCACCAGTGCTCCCGGTGACGCCACACAGTCCGCTGCAGGCCGTGGCCACCCCGCCAGCGGCTTCCAGCTGCAGCACCTTTCCTGTTCTCGGACGACACCGACACAGCAGCCCTCCGACATCTGCTGCAAGCTGCGGAACTCGATGAAAACGGCATAATTGTTTAGAAAATGGCAGCACTATTCCTAATCTAATTAGGGACTGAGGTGGGGGTCACTCGTCACAGTTCTATCGTTAAACCCTTCAAGAATTTCTTTAAAAACCCACACACGCACACATCTGAAAGAAGCCGCTGCACCGGCAAAGATGCTCTTTTTAAGCTATGAAATACAAAAGTGCACTTTTCTATATCTACATATAAAACATATTAGAAATAAAACTGTGTAGAACGTTTGCTGTGCAAACTGTGAAACGAGGCGGCGCCTGCAGGCCCCTACTGCAGAGAGTCGCTGTTCTCCAGCACCAGCCCGCCCATGTGGCTGGGCGCCAGCACGCCCCCGTCCTCCTCCGCGCTGTCCACAGACTCGTCCTCGCTCTGGCCCGCCATCATGACCTGCTGCACGGCCAGGGTGGCCCCGTCCGAGGACAGGGACTGCAGGCTGTCCACGTTCACGTTCACGGGCGCGGTGATGGTCACAACGGCACCTGCAGCAGAGCACAGGGCGTCACGGCAGCACGAGGAGAAGCGCCGGAGCACTGGCCCGCCCCGTGCTTGACCTGCACTTCGGACGTCTGCGGACGTTTCCCGAGTGCCGCGGAGCCTGGGAAACGGCTCCTGACCCGGCCTGACCACACTTAGTGATGAGGTCTCGGTCTGAAGATGGTCTCGCTGGAGGCCGGGGTGAGAAAACGCAGGGGAGACAGGGAGGGGCGTACGGGAAGAGTGCAAGTGAGACACAAGGCAGACACTAAGGCAGGAACAAGACAGAGCCAGCTAGAAGGAAAAGCAAATGCCGCCACACGCCCTGCCATTCAGCCTGGCTGCAGAGCCGGGCACCACCAGACGCCCACAAGGGAGGCCCAGAGGCAAGGCCCTGGCCAGGGGACACCCGGCTGCACGCAGACACAGCAGGTGTGTGAGCGCTGACTTGCCAAAAGCCCCAAGGACTGGTGAGTGACGCCAGCAAGAAGGGGCAATCCCGCACCTCAAGAGCCAGACCTTCGCTCCTTCCTCCGTGGGCACAGAACAGGCAGCGTGTACAGGGAAAGAAACTGCCGTCTCCGGGGAGCGGAGGGTGCGCTGGGGGGACATCGCTCTCCCCGGCCACTCTTCTCAGAGTCCCTCCCCAGCGTATGGAATTTCCCTTTCTGGGGAGGAGAGAACGGACAGGCAGCACTTGCTATGCTTGGAAGAGCATCCTGAGAGCCCATGTGCGAGAGACCTGGTCCTCAGGTGGCGCTACGGAAGGAGACCAGACCTAGGAGGGGTGGGGACCACGGGCCTTCGGGCCCCTATGCCACCACTCACTCGCCACTCGGGAGCACCAGCCCTGCCGGAGCGCCAAGCACTGGGCACCCGATCTGGACGGAGCCTCCAGCCGCGCACACAGGAACACATCCCTTTCTCTCTATAAACTGATAGCCCTGGGCACTGAGTTGTGGGTCCGGGAAACTGACCTTTCTGTTATTTACTGTACAAAACAGAAAACAAAAAGACAAAGGTGTGAGACCTACCAGGGACAGACATCAAGACAGATATTGCAACTGTACTGTGCACGTTGAAAATCTAGCAGACTCATGAAAAACATGAAAGCTCAAAGAGGGACTTCTGCAAAGATGAAAAGTACAATGTCTAAGACGAAAAATAGGCTACCTGGGACGTATGCAAGAATAAACACTGCAGAAGTGAAGGGGAGTGAAGCGGAAGGAGAGGAATAGCAACTATCCAAACCCCAACACAGGGGAAGTGAGAAGAGCCTCCCTCAGTGTGACAGTGACTACCTAACATGCGCCCGAGCCACTGAGGTCCGGCAAAGGGTGGGGCCACGGGGTGGGCCACAAAGCAGAGCTCACGAAAACCTGGACGGGAGTGTAGCGGGTGGAGTGCTTGCCCAGCATGCACGAGGGCCTGGGCTGAATCTGCAGCACCACGAAAAGAAAAGAAAAAAGGGCCCGAGACTTTCCTAACTTAGTAACTATATATTGCCATGTGAAAACAAGCAAGCACAGTGAGGTAACATTTAAAACATATGTACACACACACAACATACGTATACAGCCAGGCACAGTGGTGTGAATCTGTAGCTCCAGCTACTCGGGAGGCTGAGGCAGAAGGATCACTTTAGCCCAGGAGTTCAAGGCCCACCCAGGCAGCAGAGGAGACCTTACATTAAAGAAAAGCCCACAAGCCAACTCCAGATTTGAAAAGTTTGCAAAACAGAAAGAGGCTCATGAAACACATCAGAATGGTGGCAGCTGACAGGGACAGAAGGACAGAGTGAAAGAGAATCACCAGAGCCAGAGGCAGGGGCATGGCCTGAAGGGAGTAAGACGCCAGGTGCTGGAAGGTCTCGCCCAGTGTGCACCAGAGCTGGGCAGAGGGCCCCGTGGGAGCCAAGCAAGTAAGAGCCCGTCGGTCTGTGCCTCTGAGACCCCGGCTCTGCATCTGCACGGGACGCGGCCTTAGCTCTGCGCTCCTGGCTCCGCTCGGCACCGCTGGCACTCCCTTTAACACACCCCCACGAAGCCTCCTCACGGTTCGGACGCAGAGGAGGCTGGTGTGCCTGGCTCGGTGGGGTCCACACTCCCGCCTTCTACCCACCCGTACCTTCTGACATGGTCAGCTCGCTGGGTGGAGCCTGGGCCACGCCCGACGCAATGGAGTCCGGCCAAAACCTCTGCACTGGCCTGTTCTGAGCAGTCTTCTTCTTCGTTTTCGGGGTCTCTGAACAACTGGAATCCAACATTGGCTGCAGAATTCGTCTTCTAGCATTGATGAACCTGCATGTGGACAAAGGGAAACTGAGGCCAAAGTGACCTCTTGAAGATCTTGTGCAGGATCAACAACTACCCTTCGTGAACATGCATCTTCACAAACTCCATTCTCCACCAGAACAAATATTCCAGGGGAATTATTACAAATAATTCAATGCTGTAATTACAAATATCACAGCACAGTGACCATCTAACTCCAGAAAAACAGGGCTTGCTGCAAAAAGTAACTCCTAAGGGCAGCTCTTCTGCGGCCCTTCCGCGGGGTTCCTCTGCCCTTACAGCATTTGCAGTGCGCCTATGATTTAGACGTGAACATAAATAGATAACAACACAGATCTGGGCACCTGACATCCCTTTCTCTAAGAAAAACGTGTCAGAGGCGAGCCCCTCCGCGCCCCTCATCTGGGCAGGGCACTGGGCGGCCACCGCACGCTGGACCCTTCAGCAAGGCCGTGCCTCTGGCTGGCAGGCCCTGAAGCTGGAGAGCAGGACTCTGGGGAGAGCTTCATCTTCTCCAAAGACCGTGACAAATGACGAGCTATTCTTAGAAGACTGAAGTCCTTGGCCAGCCACCTGTCCCGGATACCCGGCTAGCACAACACTTGTGCGTGGGCGGTGATGATGCCTGGGCCAGCTTGGGCTGCTCTGCCACCTTCGCCACGATCCACACACAGAGATCAACAGAAATTACAAGCTGGCAGGGCAGGCAGCATGCACTTCCCAGGAAACATCTAAGAAGAGAAGAGAGTGTGCTGCTTCAGCCTCCATCCTCGGGTACGCTGGCTGCCGCTGTTAAATGGCAGAATATGGCAGGGAGGGGCCCAAGAGGAGCCCAAACCCCAAGTCAGCTCTCCTCCAATGCCGGAGCGTGAGGACAGGGACCGCTGCGCGACTTGCTGCACAGTGAATGCAGCGGAAGGAAAACCCACCCCTGCCCCATAAAAGCTCCAGTCAGCCAGAACCTGTCAAGACTCACACACCATCTCCAGCTTGATCCAGAATTTTAAAAACTAAAAGCTACTATTAGCCTTCTAGGTAGGACAACTCTGTGAACCTGACAGAGCCATGGATGGGAAAGCTAGACAACAACAGTGAGCACGGCAACAGTCCCAGGACAGCCGCACTGACTCTGGTCTGACCCCCCCCCCCCCCGCTCCCTAATCAATTTGTTTGTTTGTTTGTTTGGTTTTTTTCCGGTACCGGGAATCGAACTCACGACCTTGCACTTGCCAGGCAGGTGCTGTGCCACTGAGCTAAATCCACAGCCCCTCCCCTAGTCAATTGATTGATCAATCGATGCCCTTATGACACAACCAAGTCTGACGGTTCAACAGAAGACTACAGGAGAACTACCAGGAAGGGTTCACTTAGTGCAAACACCGTAGCAACAACACCCTGGGAACGTTTGTATTTCTGCAAGCACATTATGTAAAAGACTTAAGAGGAAGTAACCCAGGGAGTGTGGTCTACTGCTCCTACCCAGATAAAAAATAACAGACTCAGTGAGTGCAAGACAAGAAACCCTTAATGCAACACTTACGAATGGGTAAGGAGGACACTTCCCTGTGGGTACTGGGACTTCAACAGCTTTGTATTTTAGCACAGCTAAGATAAAAAGATAAAACCGCGCACAGGTGCTGGCACTCGTGCTTTCTTCCACACCTGCTGACTCTGTTAGGCAGGAGGTGCTGCCTCCCCGAAGCACAATGACTCAGCCCAGTGCGGCTGCGCCCCTGCCCTCCACAGCCTCAGCTCCTGGGGGGACACGGCCGGGGCCCACATGTCCACAAAAACATGTGACCCCAGGACTGGAAGAGGGTGTTCCTATCTGAACACAGACATCCCCGGGGCGTGCCCCTGGAGAACAGAAGCAGAGGGAACGCCGCTGAAGTGACGCTCAGGGGCACTAAGTTCCTACGGGGAAGAGTCACCACACCTGCCCGCGGAGCCCGTCAGCTGAAACCGCCCCGTTCTGAGGGGCACAGGGCAGGGGGTGACGCCGCAGGAAGCCTTTCTGGTGGGCGAGGAGCACGTGGGCAGGAGCGCTCAGTGCGGTGTGCACTGCTGGCCCTCAGGTACCCGCCACAGATGGCAGCACGCTGATGACAGCACTGCCGCTAAGGCACGCGCACACTGCAACAGCCCCCCGAGCGCCCGTCTCCGGGTGCAGCACCCGAACGCCAAGCCTTACCAGTTGTTGACTTGGAGTAGTGTCAAGTTTGTCTGAGCAGCGATCTGCTTCTTCTCATCCTCTGTGGGGTAAGGGTGCTAAAAATAAAAGGGAGGGTAACCATGGACTTAAGAGTCGTAAACAGGAAATCAGGATGCTCTAGGGGAAATGTCAGCATATAAATAAGCATTAGTAAATACTGGCACTTCTCACCAGTGCTTGTAGCCAAAAACTAGCTTTCCTTCTCTGCCCGAAGAGAATGCAGCACTTCTCCTCACCCACCACTGGGACATGCACAGCTGCAGTAGCTGGTCCGCAGGCAAAGGGGTTCCAGGGACAGCGATCGCAGCAGGCCAACAGCCCAGAGGGGCGCTGGCTGTGACCCCAAAATTTGTGTCAGTACACCTGGGGTTCTGTTCATGACCTGGCAGCCTCATCCCTCCACAGGGGTGAGTGGATGGTCTGCGGCCGAGGCCCCTGCCGCACCATGTGGCAGCCCACGCATGCCACTCTGGGACTCCTGTCACCTTCAGAGATAGACGCTGTCCTGACCTCTGCTGCCCCAGGGTCTGTCACAGGGCAAGTGGCCTGCTTCTGTCACCGGTACCAGGAGAATACATCAACATTGAGATGCTCGGTGTCACCTTGGGTGTATCAGGACCAACAAACTCTGCTGTGGTCTGCAGGGTACAACTCCCACGGCCCCAGGCCAGGGGAGGTGGAGGCCGGGCCTGGCGAGCAGTCCTTCGTCACTGGGCCGTGCCCTAGAGGGACTGGGACCTCAGCCCTCCGCCCCTCTCTCATACCTGGCCCTGAGGCGAGCAGCGCTAGGCCAAGCTCCCCACCGCTGCCAGCCAGCGCCCACACCACAGCCCATAGCAACAGGCCTGCCAGGTGGAGAGACAGCGGACTGGCGCCTCTAACACCATGAGCCCAAGTCCTCTCCTCGAAGCTGCTGACGGCAGACGCGTTACAGAGGCGGACAGCAGACTCACTTGCTGGCAGGGAAGAACCGAACCCAGGCCCAGGGGCAGGCGTGTCTGTACATTACCCTTCTTCTATACAGCCCTGAACACAAACAGAATGAAGGGCCAAGGTGCAACTCAGTGGTCAAGCGCTTGCCCAGCATACGCAAGCAAGGCCCTGGATTTGATCCCCAGCACCTCCCCTCCAAATTAAAAAATAATAAAAAAGAAAAAACCAGAAGTAAACTAGAAGTAGGTATCAGAATCCCCAGAAGTACCAAAGGGGAACAATGTCCGTCTACGTACTTTCTCCGGGACAGATTACGATATGTGGAGCCCAAGAGAAAACGTACCCTAAAGCTGCGTGCACCGAGTCCCTCGTTCGGACCACGGGAGGCGCTCAGGGGGTGGCGCCCACACACAAAGGACGCGGGTGTCTGCCGGGCTTGACTTCAAACACGCGTGGAGGGAAACCCCTCTGCTCACTGAGGCGGGGTGAACGGCACGGGTCCACCGCCTGTCTGTCCACACCGAGCACCAAGGCGCTCCCACCTCAAATGACGAACGAGAGTGCGGCCCTGGGTTCAAGGTTGGAGTACAAATACTGTTCTTGCCCTTTAAGAAGCTCACAAAACGGAAATGGGGCAAGAACCACAGGCGCAGGGCCAGAAGCCCGAACAGCGGTCTCTGCTGCCCTGGGGTGCCTGGCAAGCTAGCGAGAAGGCATCGCCAGGAAATGGGGGCAAGAAGCGACAGGCGAAGCAGCACAAGGAAAACCTGTGTCCGTCTAACTGATCTTTATGAGGAGCGCGTCTCATTTTTGAAATGATTAAGCCATTACAGAACCAGGCACAGTAGTACACACCTGTAACCCCAGCTACTCAGGAGGCTGAGGCAGGACTGTGCGCTCAAGCTCAGCTCGGGCAAATAGTGAACACTTGTCTCAAAACAACAGAATAAGACTGCTGAGGATGCAGCTCAGTGCTTCCTGCGTTTGGCCCCCAAGACCTCAAACACCACAGCCTGAGCGGGAATAAGAGGGGACCCGGAAGGAGAGCCCCCGCCTGCAGTGGGGACCTGGAGCACCTCCTCACCTCCTGTCACCCTGCGGCCCTCTTGCCTGCAGCCCTCGTCGCCTCCCCCAGCCTCCCTGCCGGCTCCCCGGGGCCCAGGCACTTGGCGACGCCACCCAGAGCTGACTCCCCAGCAGCAGCAGGTGCCCCCCTTCACTGCGCTCCCTCATGCGCCAGGGCCGGGGCCAGGGGGTCCCGCCACCCCGGGGCAGCACTGATGCACACTTAGCCCCAGGCAGCCAGTCCCCACTCCTGCCTTTAGCTTTATCCCCAAGGCAACCGCCCAAGGCCTGAGGTGAGCCCAGACGCAGCTCTCCTCGGCCCTTTGCCCGTGAACCCCTCACCCAGCCCATTACAGGTATGGTGTGTGTCCGGATGTCCCCCTGAGCTGCGAAGGTGGCTGTGTTAGGGAGTGTGAATGCAGACTGAGGGTGTGATGCTGGGACTGAGGGTGTCGCACCCTGGGTATGGGTGGCAACAATCATCGGGCAGTAGCCTGGATGGGATTAAAGGGAGAGGCAGGCTTGCTGCTGCTGTTTCTGCTGTTTGATGCTTGCTGCTTGGCTATCTCCCTGCCTGTCTGCATGGGCCATTTCTCCTCAACGATGCCCCTCTGCCCTGCAAACCTGCCTTGGAGCAAGTTGGCTATGGACTAAAACTTCTACAAACTATGAGCTAAAAAACACCTTTCTTGCCAGGCATGGAGGTACACGCCCATAATCTCAGCACTCATGAAGCTGAGGCAGGAGGGTCACTCGGGTACACAGTGAGTTCAAGGCCAGCCTGAACTGCATAGTGAAACCCTGTCTCAAAAAAACAGAAAGAAAAAAAAAAAAACAAAAAGAAATCTTTCTTCCTTTAACTTCGGGTGTCAAGTATTTTGTTTGGGCAACAATAAAAGTAACTGAGATAACCTACCTCTCCTCTATGCTCGACTATTGTGAACATTCAATAAACTGTGACACTTACAGGCAGGCCTCTTAGATACATAACTAAATTCCCGCACCACCAAAGCCAGAAAGAGATGCCTCTGAGGTGCTCCTGCATCCACAGGCCTTACCCCTATGTGCTGGAAGAGCCAGGAGCGCATGACGTTGGTGGCGTGCTTGGGCAGGACGCCCCTCTTGTTCTTGGATGAGCCATCGTCCTGGTGCAGGAGGCTGAGGTCCTGGTTCAACTGCAGCTGGAGCTTTTTCACAAGGGAAAGCACAGTTGGGGGGGGAACTCACGACATTCCTGCGGCCTACAGGGGCAGGCGGACGAGACTACCAAGGCTCTCACTGATGGGCGCTGTTACGAGCAAAGGTGTACGTGCTGGGTGCGCTGGGATCTCCACAGACTGAGCTCCTGAGGGTGTGTGTGGTACTGTGAGGTACGTCAGTCTCCAGCCCTGCTGCCTGGCGGGAGGTGCTTGGACAGTGAAGTCCACCACCCCATCCTCATATCCTCACTTCCGCTGACTCTGTCCACCTGAACCCATGGACCACAGGTAGCACCCGGACTGCCTGTCCCACTGAACAAATCTAGTCAGATACCCACAGCCCTAATGCTGGGCACCGGAGTTCACAGACGGGGAAACGTCTGATCTACAAAAGAATGACTCCACGCCTTTGAAATGACAACTTAACCTGCTCTTTCTGATATAAACCCAGCGGACAGCAGAAATGTGTACGCTCCTGAATCCCAAGAGGCCTCAGAGCCCACCTAGTCCAGCCTCCTCACTTCACCACGAGGCACGGACGGAGCTGCGGCAGGGCAGCCCAGGGTCACCGTGCACAGCAGGCCCCTCTGCTCCGTCCTGCTGCCTGTACAGCTGCCTCCTGGTTCAGGCACAACCGGGAATCACCCTCAGGTTCTTGGCTGTTCCACAGGAAGCGCCCTGACACATCCCAGACACACAGCAGGGCCGGGAGAGCTTCACGGGGAGGTGGGGCCTGGCCCACAGTCCCTACATCTGGTGGCGGGGGGCCCGCGTAGAGCAGCCATGCACACAGCTGGCTTCCCCGCCACACAAGTGATTTTCCCACCCCTTCAGACTTGCCCAGATTTTGTAAATTTTGCCTCAAACTTGCAGTGATCCTCCTGCCTCAGCTACCTGTGCTCCTGTCTAAGGGAGACAGACAGCGGGAAGAAACACACTATCAACCAGATGAACTACAGCCGGCTCCAACAGGGCAGCACCCCATGCCGTCGGGGAGCGACGCACCTGTGAGTTCTGGATCCTGATTGTCCCGGGAGATAGCGCCTGGGTGACCACTTGGCCTTGCGGAGTGACGACTGTGACAGGCTGGTACACGGTGCCACCTCAAAAGGGAGATGATTCAAAATTAAACCACTTTTAAGTCTTAATGATTTAAAACCATTTGTCTTGATACACTTGTGGAAGGAATAAAATCTCCAATCCAAGGAGCTTTGGAATCTTTTCCAGTTCACCTGTCACTATATTATCACAGGTTCCTCAGACTGCCGGGCTAGGTTTTCCACGGCCAGGAGCTTCCACAGACCTGGCCGTTCCCTTCTGTTTGCCTGCACCTGGCTTTTACCTTTTCCTACAATCAGCACATGCTGCTAGGTGTGGTGGTGCACGCCTGTAATCCTAGCACTCAGGAAGCTGAGGCAGAAAGATCATCATGAGTTCAAGGCCAGCCTGAACTACACAATGGAACCCTCTCTCAAAGAACCAACAAAACAAAACAAAAACCCGGCAATCGGCACACAGTAAGGATTTGGCCAAAGGCACCGAACAAGAACTTCTGTTCTGGCTACACTTCTGGTCAGCAGCGCCTCTTTTCCAGGAGGCCCCTGTAGCTGTGCTGTGACATGTTCAGTGTAAGTCTCCACCCCCCACATGCCTTGTTCCATTTTCTTTATCATTTTCCTTTATTCCTTTTTACTTTTGGAGACGGGGTTTCCCATGCAGTCCAGGCTGGCTTTGAACTTACTATGTAGCCCAGGCTGGCCTCAAACTTGCAGTGATCCTCCTGCCTCAGCCTCTTGAGTGCTGGGATTACAGGCGTGCACCACCATGCTTGGCCCCAATCCATTTCTGTGACATTTTATGTTCACAGTATCCTACACAGACTGGGGAACACCGGACTCTGTCCCCTTCTTTCTTTTTTTCTGTCCCCATCTTGTCATGGCTTTTGCTATACAGGTAACAGTAAGATTAGGACTGTGTCATTAATTCACTATACAATAGGAGTTTCCATCTGCTGCTAAAAACACAATTAAAAACTATGTTACTTGAAAAATCACAACTGGTTTTTGCTACTTTTTTTTTGAGACAGAGTCTCACTATGTATTTCAGGCTGGCGTTGAACTCATGGCAATCCTCCTGCCTCACCCTCCCAAGTGCTAGGATTATAGGTGTAACACCATGCCTGGCTCTGCTACATGTTCTTAATTCCTATATAAAACCTGCTTTCTTTCTAATACACTTTTGATAGAAAAACACAATTTGCATAACATATTTGGTGAAATGAACAGACATACAGAGACCTCGGATTCTAGTACTGTTAGTCAGAAACTGGCTATTTAAAATACTGTGAAATCCAGAAAAACTAAAAGTGTAGAAAATTACGTTTATATACTTGTTCAAATACAAATGGACCTATTTCCTGCCAATGCTGATGGAGAAAGTACGGGTTTTCCTTTGTCCATACCTGCCACTGTCGCCATGGTGACATTTCCCTGTTGCAGGGCAGATGCTGGCACCACGATTCCTTGGGAGCCGAGGGTGCCCGTGATGGCATTTTGAATCTGCTGAATGTCAGAACACACACGTCATGGGGAGTAGCGGAAAATGGGACAGCTGTGCCTCAAACCTCAAAGCGGCGGCCCCACAACATCATTAGCAAAGCACAGGGCAGCCTGGGGCTCAGAGCAACCCGGAAGGTGCAGCTTTGGGAAGCAGGTGCGCATTTGGGGAGCGGGAGACCGCATTTGATCCGAGGATGAGATCAGCGCTGAAGTGCTGTCTGCACCGCGCTCCCGAAGGTAACCTTCCCTCTCACTGTCCCGCCCCACCGGCCTAGGAGCCGGGGGAGACTAGGAAGACTGTGCTATCTGATCGCAGCCTTCCCCCTCAGACAACCGAGCTCTGCACCCAGCACAGCCTCTGCAGCAGCCCAGCACCTTCAGAAGCGTTCCAGGCCTGGAGGCAACTGGGAAGAGCAGGGCCGAAGGTCTTCCAGGGGTGCTGGAGAGCCACCGCCCGGCCCACATCGGCACCTCGCGGGACACGGGCGAGCCCCCACAGCTGAGTGCTCTTATTTGCGAGGGTGCCTGGGATGAGGCCTGGCCTGCAGCAAGACCCCCCGGGAACATCTGTACACAGTGCATCAGAAATTTCCCATCTCAGGTTGGCTCTACGTGGACAACACTGTGATGGCCAGGCTGGGGCTGGCAGGGCGAAGGGCACCTGACACAAAGCCTGGCACGAAGCTTGTGCCTGGATGTCTGAGCAGGTACAGCGCATCAGGGAATGCCATCCTCGGGCAACTGTCCCAAGGGCAGCATCACCGTGAACGTGGAGGCTTGGGAAGATGCGCTGCAAGTCTGCTACAGGAATTTGGTCACAATACAAGCTATGCCACCCAAATCAATACTCCAAACTCCCACCTTAAGAGCCCACGAAATGAGCTCAAAGCAAGCAGATGGGAAAAGATCATAAATTTCAGAGCCTGTGCCAGGCATGGTGGTGCACGCCTGTAATCCCAGCACGTGGGAGGCTGAGGCAGGAGGATTGTTGCGAGTTTGAGACCAGCCTGGGCTACAGAGTTAGTTCAGGGGCAGCCTGAACTATACAAGACTCTGTCTCCAAAAAAAAAAAAGCCCAGCTTACTGAAAAGATCAAAGCAAACAGACCCCTAGTGAGCCTGACAAAAAAGTAAAGAGCAGACAGACTTCCATCTCTGGAAGAAACAGGAGATCAGGGCAGGCCCTGCAGTCGCAAGGGTCAGACAAGGGGAGCACAGCTCTTCATCTGGAGACCAGAGGCCAAGCTTAGCCTCCGTATCTCACCCATCCAACAGCAGCTCTGCGCTGTTAAGGAAATTGAAATTGTAATTTTTAAACTCCTAAAAAAAGAACGCTATAGGTACATGCAGTTCCCCTGGGGAATTCTACTGATCAAACATTTTTATTTATTTTTTTCTTTGAGATAGGGTCTTGCTGTGTAATTCAGGCTGGATCATCTTGAACTCACTAGGAAGCCTAGGATTTCCTCAGACTCATGGTGATCCTCCTGCCTCAGCCTTCCCAGTCTGGGGTTACAGGCGTGCGGTACCACACCCAGCTGATCAAACATTTTAAGACTAAACATCCTACAATCTCTTCTGGAAAACAGAAGACAAGGAAACACTCCCCAGTCTACTACCAAAACCAAAGACGTACAAAAACCAAAGCTAAGCCAGCCATGGTGGCTCATGTCTATAATCCCAGAACTCTGGGACACTAAGGCAGAATATCATGACCTGAAGACCAGCCTAGGCAATTTAGCAACTTAACGAGACTATGTCTCAAAATAAGGGCCACGAATGTAGCTCAGTGCAAAGGCCCTGGCTTCAAACCCAGCACCACACACACCCCACTAAACACCAATATCCCTTACGAATACAGACACAAAATAGTTGACAAAATAGCAGCAAACACACTTCAGAATTATATGCCATGATCCAATGGATTTAATCCAGGAGTGCAAGGCTCAATATTTGCTTTTTCAAGTCAATCCATGTAATCTCCTATATTGATCGGTCAAAGAAGGATAATCCCATCATCATAGCAACTGATGTAGGGAAAGCATCTGACAAAATTCAACATGATAAAAACTCTCAGAAAACAGCAACAGAGGAGAATGTCCTCAAGCAGATACAAGCATCGATCTACTCAATCACGGCATATAATTCTAATTTGCCAATATTCTGTCAGACACAAGCATCTAGGAAACTCCTCGACCGCCAGGCTGAGCTGGGGGCCGGGAGGGTCCCTCGGACCGGGAACAAGGTGAGAAGTGTGTTCTCTACACTCTCACCCTTGGTCCTTCCTCATAGGTGAGAACTAGGGACTTTACACTAAGGAAAATAGGCCAGGCACAGAAGGCAAATGCTGTGATATTCTCTCCCAGAAGGACGGAGAGCACAATGGCGCATGCCGGGGCAGGCGAGGGGGATGCTGCGGCAGCAGAGTTTAACAGGGGCAGAGCTTCACTTTGGGAGGATGAAAGTGCTCTGGAGACAGATGGTGGTGACGGATGCACAGCAACACGAATCAACCCAACTATACCTTTAAAAATGGTCACAAAAAAATAATGACAGTAATTTTATGTTGTGTGTGTTTTACACAACGTTTGAAAACCACACATCTGTTTCTGTGTGTTGTTCGTGTACTTACACTTCTTTTCCAGAAGGAAAGATGAATGGCACCCCACCCTCCGCGACATGGGCTGGGTCTCAGGGCCCAGAACAGATGGAGAACTCACCCATACCATGCACAGCCGGTCCCCGGCCTGAGCCATTCCCATGCCAGGCGGGGGCAGACACCTGGAGGGTCCTTCAGGCAAGACGGCCATCAAGACAGCCCCGCAAGTCCGAATGTGCTGGCAAGCAACATCACAAGCACCACACAGGGCGGCCCGAGGCAAGTACCTGGGACTGCACAGGGGAGTACGGGCTTCCAGGCTCCCCGCTCAGCAGGGTCTCACTGTTCATTTTTGTCTTCAGACAAGCAATGTACCGACTGCAGAAATCTTTGCAGAGCTCGTTCACTTTTTCCAGCTCAAGAAGATGAATGCGCAACACCTGGATTGCTTTTACCATCTAGAAGCAGAGAAAATGAGGACCTTTAGGGACGGAGGAGGTGGCGTGCACTTATTCTAAGTTATTTTCACACATGCTGGTCCCAGGCATTACACGGACACATCTCCAGTGCTGGCAGCAGACGGGAAAGCACATCAGAAACCACGCAGCAGCTGCCTCTCCCGGGACCAGGCCCTGGGCTTGCAGCAGCACCAGTGTGCAGAGAACTCAGGAGCCCGGTGCCAGCGTGCAGACAGCATGGCTCTGTGCCCAGCCCAGACACAACCAGGCCACAGCCCGCCCGCCGCTGACTTGCCGGCCACCAGCTCGCTCTGGCACAGCAGGCCTCCTACCCTTGCTCCACTCCACCCACCCCTACTTCTCTAAGCAGGACAAATTCACATCCAGCCCCAAAGTGGCTCTTGTTTTTGTTGGGGTTCGGTGTATCAACTCTGCCTTTTTTGGAACATGTCAAGTCTAAGAACCCCCTGGCTAGCCCGAGACCCCAAAGATTTCCTCTTAGGATTTTCTAAACATTGTGTACCCTTCTGTTAAGTCACTAAGTTTTGAGAGAGGTTGTGCGATAGCACGTCACTAACCCCCGTGATGAAGCCATTACCACTAGCACCGCCTGCCTCCGGACCACCCCAGCGCTCAGCCCTTAGTGAGCTGACATCTGAGGCGAGGCACATGCGCTCATGGGACAGGACAGCCCGTCGGCTGGCAGCAGGACTTGCGGAGCGCTGAGCCCGGCAGAACGTTGGTCTCCGAAGCCTGGCAGGTGTGAAGGACACCCGTTCCCCTCACTGAGCCAGGCCAGACACCGCCATGAGAGGGCTGGACGCAAGACAGTCTCAGGAGAGAGGGCTTCTGACTCGCACTCAAAGACACTCCAGGGTCAGAGACTCAAAGTCTATCTCTTAGGTGGAAAGGACTGAATATAACATGCAAGACACTTGTGAAAAGCAAACACCCAGCAGTTTACCAGGAAGACAGAAGTCTGCAAAGACCCTCTGCTACTTAGGGGCAAGGTTTTGACGTGGGCCCTAGGACGTGCAGCGGTGGTGCCCAGGCCTGCGAGGGGGCAGATGCCTGGCACCCTCTGGAGGAAGCACAAAATGTGGCCACCTGGCAAAGGTTGCTGGTGCTGCGCACCTCCCACAGGGCATGGCCCACTTTAGGGGACCTATCAGTGAACCTTAAGCAACTCTGCGTTTCCTCTGCACAGTGCGTTGGACACAGGAGGAGGGCACCCCATGAGGGTTCGCCTTGAGACAGAGCTATCTTGAAGGATCCAGTTCAAGCCCTGTGTCCGAGGGTAGGGCTGACACTGCCTGAGCACAGCCCCAGGAGCCTCTATGGTGCTCAGGAGGGATCCTAGCCCCAGACACTTAGGATGAAGCCCAAGTTCTTTCATTTGCTTGCTGAAGAAGAAAGTAACTAGAAATTGGAAGGCCTGGGGCAGTCACAGTAAAACACACTGTGAAGTTGGTGATGGGTTTTTCCCTCTTTTTTTAGGCATTTGTTAAGTTGCTAAGTTGCCAGGCTGGGCTCAAATTTGTGATCTCCCTGCCTCTGCTTCCCAGACTGCTGGGATTATAAGTATGCACCACCATACCTGGCTTGTAAAGTAAGTTATTTTAAAATTATACAATTCTTTCCAGGCATGGTGGCACACACCTGTAATCCCAGTTTTCGGGAGGCTGAGGCAGGAGGATGGTTTTGAGTTTGAGGCCAGCCTGGGCTACACAGTGAGCTCAAGGCCAGCCTGAACTGCATAGCGAGACCCTGTCTCAGAAAGACAAAAAAAAAAAAAAAAAGTTTAATCGGGCTTACAGTTTAAGGGGGTTCAATCCATTGCCTGCTGGCTCCAGGGCGGAAATGGCAGAGGCGGGGCTGCTGAGTCTTGAGTCTGCAGTGGCCAGGGAGCAGCACAGGGCAGCAGCCCCAGCCAGGCACTGGCGACCCGACACAGCACCCACGGCCACCCAGACGCACAGCCAGGAGCCCTCTACAGTTTGCTAAGTGTTCCTCACCAAGGAAGCTGACAGATCGGCAGTCACACCCTGCTGATGGAAGTACAAGCACTCTGGAGTGCTAAATATAAGTTTAAAATTTCACAAACAGATTTTAAATTATGAAAATAAAACTTGAAAATGAAACATGGACTTTACTTACTAAGTTGTCCGTTTCTGGATCCTCACAGAAGAAGGGCTTCCCTTCCTTCTCCTGCTTCCTGACGAAGTTCTCTATGTCCACGTCAAAACTGGCGGAGGTGGTGCCTTCGGAGCCCTGCGTGGACTGCTCGCATTTTTCAAACAGCAAGGCCAACAGTGGAAACAGGGGGTGCCTGGGGAGGAAGAAGGAAGATTGAAGGTATGCTCTCTACACCCGCGCGCAAACTTCGCGCACACGTGTGCGTGATTTTGGAGCAGCTCAGTTGAGCTCTAATTCACATGCCACAGAATTCACCATGGAAAGTGTAAAATTCAATGTTTTTTATTTAAAGATAAAAAACAATACAAAGTGATATAAAATTCCAAAACAAGATACAGGAGATTAAGAATGGTTAACACATTGCATATCATCTTCAAAGTAGTCGCTTGGGTTACAAGATATAGGCATGAAAAGCTTATCAAACAACAGAAGCACAAACCGTTCTTATCAATGAACTCGGTGGTTTTCTGAAGCGTGCTCCAGCCTTGCTCCAATGTGAGACCACTGTCACCAGTTATGAAAGCCTCCCCGTGCCCACCAGCAGTTCCTTTCCGCTCCTCTGGCCCCGGCCGCCTGCCAGCCGCTGTCCCTCCCTACGCCTGCTCCAGACGTGCTGTGCACAGCTTTGTGTCTGGTTCCCGTCAGCAAGTCTCCAAGACTCACTCGCCAGTGCTGTGCCGGTACCAGTCCTTCGTTCCTTCACGGTGCAGTTAAGATCCAGGTGAGGATAAGCCAGTTAGTCTTTCCATTCACCCATCCGTGGACATCTGGATTGCATCTATGTCTTAGCTATTATGGACGCTGCTGTTCTGAACATTCATGTGCAAGTGTTCGTGGGAACATGCTGGCGTCATTTCTCTTAGGTACTTGCACAGGAGTAGAGAGACGCTGGGTCAACTGTAACTCTCCTCTTAATTTTCCAAGAAGCTGCCAGACTGTTTTACTAAGTGGCTCTCTCCTTCTGTCAGCAGCGTACCAGGGTTCTAACTTCCCCACGTTCTCAGCAACGGTTGCTATTTCCTGGTTTTCTTTTTAATTGCAGGCATCCTAATGGCTGTGAAGTGGTATGTCTGACAGCAATTTCTAGTTACACAAAAGATGAATACATGCTTCTTGGAAAGAACTCAGGTCCCACAGGTCAAGCAGAATGCCTCTGGGGCACCACTCTGTTCCCGAGTCTCCCAAGTGGGTGGCTGTCCATGTGTTAGCCGTACCCTTCTCCAGAGGACACTGCACACTCCTAAGAGCCCCGCGTCTTGCTCTGCTTTCAAGTCGGTCACAGTAACAGGACTGGCTGCAAGGCTGTGTGGAGGCCCTGCTAGCACTGGAACAAGGAACCTCATGTTCTCCTTCTGCGATGAGCCCCACAAATTAAGCAGTCAGTGCTGCCAAAGCGACTGTCCATGTGAGCACACAGAAGTCCTGGCGCGCTTTAACTGTGTCGGGGCAGCTTATACCTGTGCACCAGTCACCCAGCAGTCGCTGAGGTGGTCTGGAGTTGGTGAATCACTGACCACATGGGAGCACCTCCGTGTGCAGACACTACCAGCTCCTGGCAGCACTGCTGAGGTGGGAGCAGCATGGACACCATGGAAGTTACTAGAGTCCTGTGCTACCCCCAGGAGGAACCCAGAGGGCATTATGCTGAGTGAAATCATCTGTCACAGGAACCTAACCCCTAAGTGAGTCCATCTGTATGAGCTATCTAAAACAAATTCATAAAAGGAAAGGGGCTGGGGATTTAGCTCAGTGGCACAGCGCCTGCCTGGCAAGCGCAAGGTCGTGAGTTTGATTCCTGGTACTGGAAGGAAAAAAAAAAAAAAAAAAAAGGAAAGTAGAATGGTGGTCAACAGGGGCAGAGGTGATGAAGGAAAGATGATTTGTCATTTAATGGGTATAGAGCAGTGGCGCGGAACCTATGGCATGCGTGCTGCAGCAGGCATGCACGGGCCTCTGTCAACACACAAGCCAAGTCACCCCAGCACCACAGCATTCAGGTTTAATGGCAGTGCTGGCACTCTGCAATAAGTAAGTGGGTTTGGGGTTACAGTTTGGGTACTCAGTCTAAAAGGTTTGCCATCACTGGTATAGTTTCAGATTTGCAAGATAAAAAGATCCTGGAGGTCTGTTTCACAGCAGTGAAAATATACTTCACAGGCAGAAACCACACACTGAAAACCAGTGAGCATGATGAGCTGCACGGGCCAAGGGTGTAGTTCTGTGGTACAGTGCGTGGCTAGTATGGGTAAAATCCTGGGCTCAATCTCCAGCACTGGGGAAAAAAAAGAAAAATACGGTAAATTGTGAACTGTGTTTGAGGCTTTAATTTTTTTTTTTTTAAATCTACAATTTAAAGAAAGAAAAAAGGATTCTGAATGAAAATAGAGCCAGGCGCATGCCTGTTAGCATTCCAGAGACAGACGGAGGACTGCATGGGCTGAAGGCCAGCCTGAGCTACATAGCGAGACCCTGTCTTAAGGAAGGAAGGAAGGAAGGAAGGAAGGAAGGAAGGGAGGGAGGGAGGGAGGGAAGGAAGGAAGGAAGGAAGAAAGAAAGAAAGAAAGAAAGAAAGAAAGAAAGAAAGAAAGAAAGAAAGAAAGAAAGAAAGAAAACAAAGGAAAGGAGAGGAGAGGTGAGGAAAAGAAAAGGAAGGGAAGGGAAAGGAAAGGAAGGGAAGGGAAGGGAAGGGAAGGGAAGGAAGATGAAATGAAATGAAATGAAATGAAAGAAAGAAAGAAAGAAAGAAAGAAAGAAAGAAAGAAAGAAAGAAAGATGGCAAAAGAAAGAAAAAGGGGGCTGGGCATGGTGGTGCACACCTGTAATACCAGCACTCAGAGCTGGTGTGGTGGC